TGCCTCCCAGCGCCGCCGCTGCTGTGCCCTTGTCCTTATCTTGGAGCGGAGCACCATGTTTTCATATAAACATCCTTTCTCTTGGCAGTGGGAATGATGAACAGAGTTCTTTCATGATGATGGACAGAGGACTTCTAGGAAAATCCTGCAAAAACTGTAAAGCCCGCAGCGCCCGTTAAGCTCGGCATGGGGTCTGCAGTGTGCCATGCCCAGGTCAGAGGTCTGCCTGGTGCTAAGATTACCTGTGCTGCTCCCTGTTTCCTTCTTCTGTTATCTCCAGTAAATGCTGTTTTAATCAATACCTTACAGAGCTGAGGGCCTTCCTTACTGGAGTCTATAAAGAGCTTTTACACTGGTGCACTACATCTGGCGTAGCCGGCAGAGCCCCTGTGGAAAATGGCTTTTTGGGAAAGGGTAGCGAGGCAAGGACAGGGCGGGTGCCCGGCTGGCCCCGCGCAGGCACGGGGGCACTTGCGCAGTCTTTGGGCTGAGTGAGTTGGCAAACAGGGGAAGGGTAATCTGGGTGTTCCACCCCAGCTGAAATATTAACTTGTCTCTGAAAGGAAAAGGGCGGTAAAAAAAAAGAGCCGAGCAGAATTTATGTTGTAGTTGGTTGTTCGGAACACGCTTTCCAAAGAGTGCTGGTAAGTTTTGACCAGGCAGAGAGTTACAAAAGACTGAGAAACAGGAAGAGCTGGCGTGGGTACCGCAGCAACAAGAGCTGATGAAAGAGCCGAGAGCCGCTGCGCCAGCTGCGGGGGGCAGCCACGGCTGCAGGTCCAAGCCAAGGCTGGGATTCTGCGACATGGCATCACGAGTTATGAACAAGCAGCAGGGACCCTGGGCCACCTTTCACACTGTCTCTGTGTAAGATTACACCCAGGGAGAATTGCAGACCATGGTTGAAACCTACTGGCAAAAAACCAGGGGAGAAACCAGGGCAATGGCTCTAGAATAGACTTGTTGGCTTCAGTAATGTTTTTTATTTTTTGAACAAATGCCTAAGAGAATGTATCTAAAAATCAGAATAGAAGTAATGTTAAAGAAAGGCTGCATAGATAAGTATTAGAAGATACTCGGACCTGTCTGATAACCAACCTTAACAGCTGTAGTCTAGGGAATCTGTTAGCCCTGTACAATACATGATCTTAAGGTGCTACCACCTTCCTGTTAAAGGAAAGGAAAGATGGTAAATGTATACACATAAATATACCAACTGCTGATTTAAGCTAAAATGTAAAGTTTGTCTGTTTATTATAGAGAAGATGGGGGAGATGGAGAAAAGGAGGTGGTGGGAAGGTGAGTGAGTATGTTGGATGCTCCTGTGAAGGAAAATACTCCAGCTCTGGGAACAGAGGTTACTAATGAAAAGCTTTTGTTCATCTTTTTTTCAACAGATAACAGAAGAAGCGAGTATCCCAAAAACTTCAGGACTCTTACCAACTTCATGCCATTTCACCCTCCAGGACTTTCACACAGAGCCCACTGACTGCTCCAGGTGATTAGAGTGGACGGATGGTTCCTACACCTCGGCAGCGCAGCTGAGGGCATCCAGAGTTTTCCATTAACTTTGTCCTCTAATCGTTTTCATCCTGTCTTTCACCTCACTCTCCCTTTCACTTCCCATGGATTCACTTCAGTTGATTTGTGTTTACATACACCTCTTATATTACTCAGAGGATACCTCTGCTCCTCTGAGTAACGTAAGAGGATTCAAGGATACTTGCTCCTTTGAAACAGCAGTAGCATTTGTGTTGCTAAACTTCCTTTTTTTCTCAGGCTATCAGCTCTGAAAGCAGGTGCCAGGCTAGCCTTAGCATCTCAGTTATTTCTGAACCAGCAGCAACTGCATAATGAGATCCCCCGGAGAGCATTAAATCTCTCCTTTCTAGAAAATTCAGTAAACAGGTTTGGGAAGTACTGGCTCGCACAGGAAAACACACACACACACACAAAGAATGTACAAGAAACACAGAAAAAGTTCTGCAATTCTTGAGTTTAATTACTTCAGCACGTAGATTTTTCTTGCTATTCAGCCTTCCCCTTTCCATTGCAATCTTTCTTGGGAGACTTGCATAAACAAACACTCTTCCTAGACCAGTACATAAACCAGACACAGATGCGCAAGTTTTTATTTGCAGTTTTCTTAAGCCTTGTTTTCTTAACTTCTTAAGAGAGAAAGTGTATTAAAAAACTATTATGCAATCAGATCAAATATCTGATGGTGAGGTGTACTGAGATCAGAGGACTCAATGATGGAAGAACATGACCGTAATCCGTAACAGGAACTACACTTCAGTCTAACCTGCTCAGGAAGTCAGAGTTACAGAAGATCAGCCTCTCCAAGACCTTTGTTGTCTGCACTGTGCTGTCAAAACAGCAAAGAAAAGTCTGTTTTTCACTGCTTCTCTCTTGGCAAAATTGAGGCCTTTGGGAAGAAATGAAAAAAAAAGCAGAACCCAAGACAAATATGCAATTCACTCATTTCCCCCTCTCCCTTTAGCTCAGGAAAACTTGAGACTATTCAGGCCTTTGTCTCAAGAAGTAAGCAAAAGAAAGACTAGAAAAGGCTAGAATAAGGCATACTTGACAAAAGGCAATTCAAAAGATACGAACATGAAGGGTCACGAGGTAAAGAACAGTTACAGAAGCATGGGAATAAAGTGACACTGTGAAGGCATTACACATATACACACACTCGGTAACAAGATCCTCCTCTGCAACTCAAAGCATTGGACAATGAAGCACAACTCCAATGAAGCAAGGCCAGCATAGATAACGTGCATTATCTAGTAGGCTTTAGAATATCAGATTAACTTGGATTCTTGAATATAAAATATCTCAAAACCTATTAGTTCATAAACTTCAGAGAAAACAAACCCTGTAGGTAGCCTAAATTCCTAAAACTGAAAAAGTTTTCAAGTAATGCGCTGGTAGGAAATATCATGTGATATTATACAAGAGGTTTTCTACCTGCCTCCAGGCCTCTTCCAGCCCCGACAGTTTTCTATCACTACAGCAAATTCCAGGTTTGCGTGGATTAGTGGTAGGCTGTTACACACTTGGTATCAGCAAAGGAGAACTTGCTATTCCGCTGACACCAGGGGCTGATGTCTACATTACAGCTGCTCAACAAAGTTAGGAAAACGGTGTAGAAAGGAATTTTGGGGAACGATTTTTTTTTGATTAAGCAGACACTAGTTATTGTAGTTTGCCGTCAAAGGACTCAAATGCATCTAGTTAATTTAGCTTTAAGATTCCACAAGCAGAAGATGCAGGAAGAAGTCCAGTGTTCATATAGGGTCAGGTAAGGAAGTAGCTGCTGCAAGCAGAAGAGAAATCTTAATGTAAATGTAACGTCCTCTATCAATGCGAGTTACCCCATGACTCCCCCCACCATTTTATGGGCAGCTGCTGGACTTTGAAAGGCGTGAATCAGTTCTACTCAAAATTTCTGAGGACACATAACCTGTGAGCTAGGTGCAAGGTACCCTAGAAGAACTGCCATGCAATGTGCATGAGAAATCAGCATTACGCAGGGTGGCAAGCACTTCCTACCACAACACCTACAATCCGTGGCAATGGATGTGCGTTAGCATGTTAAAAAGTAATAGTCCACAGTTAAAATGTAATTTTCCATAGGAAAAAATGTTCCCTGTACCTAGGAGCAAATCTAGGAGTACGAAAGTGATCTAAGCAGATGCAAACAATTGTAGCCACAAACTATCAAAAAAGAAATCTCAAATTAAAAACAAAATTTTTTTTTAAAAAAAATCTTAATTCCAAACAGTAGACAAGCCACCTATTAAAACAGGCTGTCAGAAAGGGTAAAATCCGTGTTTAAAATATTACACAGCACATTACTATCCAGCTAATAAAAAACAACCAAACAAACGAAAAACCCAAAAAAACCCAGCCAAACTTTACAGACAGGATACAAACAGATTTCCTTTTGCAGTAAGGACATCTGACAAAGTTACAGAATACAGTGCGGTATGTTTACAAGGAGGTTGTTCTTCCCTTCTGCCCGGTGCCTTCACTCCCACCCGCTCTTGTTTTGACCTTGTCTTCAGTTTTCCCAGATGTGCTCTTTACTCGTAGAAAGAGAACTTTCTTTTGTCTGTACAGAATATGACACCCAGGAAGCAGGTGAGACAGGTCAAACTCCTTGCCCATCCATTTCTTTGTTGTCTACTTCACATCACTAAACCAGTTACGGATGTTATACGAGTTCAAGAAGTTTCTATCTCAGAGGCCTCTTCTATGAAGTTAGCAACAGGACTGAGGAGCAAAAGTGGGAACAGTTTATACTCTCCATTCCCGTCTTCTGAGAGGAGAGGTGGATCACCCATTCCCAGAGCATCCAGAGACTCAGCCTGGCTCGCTGGAGCTGCTAGCGGCAGGACAGTTTCAGTACCTGACGGAGGATGAAGGGCCGGTTTCTCCTCCAAGGGCGGCAGTAGAAGGTCTTTCGGATCCTCTATCTTCCCTGCAGCTTCACTTGAAGGTAGTTCTTCAAACAACGAAAGCAGAGGATTGGCCCTGTACTGTATCAGCTGCATATCTGAGGGGAAACAAACAGTTTAAACTCCAGGCTCCTGTGGCACATAAGCGAAGGCTCTTATTCAAGACAAGGAAAACTGGAGAGGCTGCTTCAAAACTTGGTTCACTAAAGGAAACCATACAGCTGAGCTCTGACAGACTACATCCACAGCTGCAAGAGGGGAGCTAAGGCTCCTGTGGCTGTTAAGGTCAGTATCTGAAGCACACTTCAAGCCCCTAATACATACGGCATGCAATGGCAACACTGAAGTAGCAAAATGAGTAGCACTGCATTTGTGGGGGTCGTAGCCCATACAGGAGATACTTCCACTGTGACGTTTGCAGTTCTGTTCCCTATTGTGACACTGTCACGGATAAGAAAAAGGAAATGGTCAACACCAACATAGGGCATAGGATGGGGCCTCTTAAGATTGAGGCACAGCTTCATCAAGATCAGTGAAACATTCCAGTCTTCACAAAAATTTTAAGCCCAGACCAAAGAAGAAGATAAACCATATTACGGGCTACAAAAATTCCATTTCAACACACAAGTTTTGGAAGAGTTTGGAGCTGTCATAGCTCTCTGTTCCTTCCTGCCCACCTTTGCTTCCTGCTGTTTCTCTCTCACTCGCTCCCAGATCTTCAGTGCTCTCTGCCAAGTTTGCAATCTGAAGCAAAATGGACAGAGGAAGACAGAATGCTTAACAACAACAAAAAAATCCAAGTCTTTACTGACTGGTTAACAAAATTAAAGGTGAAAGGAGGAGGCAGGAGAAATGAAACACTTGACCAGTGAGCCCACTGTTGCACATGAGGGCCAGCAAACAGGAGCTCTACAGAAGGCAGCACGGTGAAATACAGACAAACTTAACTTACTAAAGCCAAACAAGCTTCTGACTAGCAAATATTTATTTTGCCTTCCAAACCAGAAGCTTTATTATAGTCTGTCTTGCTGGAATAACACTGTTAAACATGATTTCATCAATACAATTAAATTTTGCAAGCACTGCTTGAACACAGCTGCATTTTAACTCAATTGTGGTCTAAGCTCTTATGATTGGGAAGTTCTAGTTTAAATACTATTTCAGGACTACAAGATAAATGACACTTGCAAGGTGGTGGTGTTTGGTTTTTTTTTTAAACATGAGTCAGTTTTAGGAACTGGACCAAGCGAGAAGTAAATTTGCACTGAACTTTTGTTATGTCTTCAAGGCAAGTCCATACAGCCGTGTTCAGAATGAATACAGTATATCACATCATATTTTTCACTCAGTACTTTTCCTTCAGTCTTCAGGCAGACTGAAGACACACAATCTCATCTGAACTATAACCCCAGACCTAGTTATTACTTGGTTAAAAGACATCATGGGAATCCCTGAGGCTAGGAGAAACAAGCCAAGAAACTGTTCTCACATTTAGACCAAAAAAAGACAAGATTTTCTACCCTCCTCATTCTAAACAGAAGAAACAGAAGTAATAGATGGGAAAAAAAAATCCTCAATACAGACAGCTGATTCAACAGACACCAGTTTGTTTGCCTCTTCCTTATGTTCTCAGCTGTATTCAGAAAGCAAAGAACATGTTATTCAAAGCAAAGTGAGAGTTTAAATCAGCTCACTGAATGTATTACTGCAGCTAGGAACATAAGACTTGAAATCATCTTGAGAATGCTCTTAAATTCGTATATGCCAACAGTGATGACTGAAAACATTAAGTCAGCAGCACTAGATAAAATGGCAGTTTTATCCTGTGCTATCAATCTAGTCCCTACCCTCAAACTGCATCAGTCAAAATTTAGCACTCAACATCATATTAGCCCTCCCCATCATAGAAGCAACTCTTATTCTTACATTTTCCATCCCAGGGGAAGTTTCCATCACGCTCATATCCAGGGCTGGCAGCTCAGGATTAAGTGTCTGAAAATAAAAAAACCCCATATGTCATGTAATAAGGTTCTTAAAACTTCAGAGAACTCCCAAAAGGACAGTGGGATCCAGCACACAGCTCCATTCATGGAAGCACAGGGAAGGCGGTTCCTCCGCAGGCTTACAGCAATATACTTTCAACCTGTGGCAGAAACTGAGGTCACAGGAGAAGAAAAGGACACCGTATTTCCCAGTGATTCCAGTTATATGGCTGAGTTTCATCCCCTATCATAATGCACAATCAAACACATTATCAGGATGTGATGATATCCGACAAAGGCTTGAGAAGGAGAAGAGAGTCCAATTTTTTCCTTTCCCCCCCCGCCCTTGAGTTATACATAACAGAAATACTGTTTGATCCGAAAAAGGCTCTCAACGTTACCTTGTACATTGTTAGACTCCTAGAATGACCATGTATCATTCTATCCGTAACTATTTGCTTTTCAGGATCTTCCCCCCTCTTGCCCATTACAACATGGAATAAACCAGTAAAATTTCATAATGCAACCTAATCAGTGTTTTTCAGAAATCAGAAAAAGTAAAAAGACACTCACATCACTGAAAGCTTCAGAACCAAAGTTATACTGCTTCCCAGATAACATTGCTTGAAGCTCTTCAAGGCTGGCATCAATGCAATTAAGAAAATCCTGAATTTCTTCTCTAAAAAGACAAAATGATATAGTACTGTAAGAACCAGTCGGCAGCTGGGGCCTTCTTTTGCTCCACAAGGCAGGAAAAACTCTTAGAAATGATCTGCTAACCTCTCGGTTATTACAGCTGTGGGGCAAGATGAGAGCCAGCCTAGGCTGCTCACAGTCCAGAACAGCTTATTGCCAAATGAATGAAACTGCGTTCCTGCATCACTTTTCACAGTCCAACTCTTTGAAGGACAGGTACAAGGAAGACTATCTGAACAGCAAGTAGAACAGCAGCTATCGTATCAAAAAGCAGTTCCTCCTTCCATACCTACTCCCTCCATCATCTTAGAGTCTTTTGAATGTTCTCAGACCCCAGCCTATATACCAATACCTGTTTAAACTAAGGTCTGATGGCTTTCACCTGGGGAAAATAAATGATAAGCAAAGGGCTGGAAGTAATCTGGATCTGAAGAAACACTACCTATTCTGAAACATCAGGTTGTTGCCAAGTTGTACATGTTTCCAAGAACAATGGGCAGGATACAAGGGACAGTGAATGAAGCGGAAAGGAAGCTGCATGCACGGTGCCAGTACTGAACTTCTCACTGCGGCAAGCTACCTCCTACGCTGGAATACTTAGCTACAAGCAACAGGCAGTTCCAAAGCATTGCCCCGCATTTCGCGGTGCCAATGAGGTAAGATACTACAGGGCCTTCAGATTACACCGCGTGCTGTGACACATCGTCTCAGTATTTCCTACCTGAAGTTAACCACAGCAGAAGAGCCATCAGGAGAAAGAACTAAAGTTTGTTCCTTGATCCAGCTCACCCTGCAGCCGCACAAATACCTGCACTGGTAAAGCTCAGGGGCCAGCGCAGAGCTGGGAACTGCTCAAGCAGCAGTGCCGCTGAGCGTGAAACCACAGCCCACATGATTTTGATCCCAGGGGCGACTCTGATCTGACAATGCACACGGCAAACAATCCTTTGCAAAAAAGAGGGGCAAAGAAAGGAAACAACAGCGAAACAGCATCAGACTACCACCGATACAAATCCATGGCCAGCCCTGAGAAACAAAGCAGCACCCGGTGCCCTCCTGAAATCACTACCCTTGATCTGCTGTTCGGCAGCACGTGCTAGTGCCAGGAGTTGGCGATACAAGGGCTGCTGTGACACTCGACCTCACCAACCCTCAGACTGACGCATCAGAAGACAGACACACTCATTATCAGAGATGTAGCAGATGAACTTGCCCTGCTTTTACGGTATGATGCTAACACTTGTCGTTTTCAAGACCTACTAACTGAAAATTCAGTTCACCAATGACATTTAAAAAGCTAATTCACTATGTTTTGCTAAACACATCCTCCAAAACTCTGACAAGATCCCAAAAGATGACGACAGGATAACGGTTTCCAGAAACAGGTTAATACCTGTCCAGTAAAGGATCATTTTGGCTTCCAGAGTTGTTCTCATTCAAGATGGAGTCAATCACTGACACGGGGTCTTCCAGAGCATTAGGCTGTGCAGAATGGAGTTCCACAGCAACATTGCCTGTTTCACTGGATTTGTTGACATCGTTTACATGAACTGGTGGGATAGGTTCTGCACAATTTAACTCATTTGGCTGCGATACTTGACAAATAGGTAAGCCAGGATCCAAAGCTGCCTGTGTCTCTCTAAAATATGACCCAAAGAGAAACAACACACAGGGAATTCATTAACTATATTACTACTCATTTCAAGTTCAGTATCTCAAATCTTAATACCTAATAAGGCCAAGCCAGTCAAAGGTTCAAACAACCAACTGGTCTTTAGAAAAAGAAGAGAAGTGCCTTCCTAAAGGCAGATGAAGAATCTCTTATTACAGGTAGCATGTTATCAGAGCAAAAGACCCCATCTTGCCAGGCCAAAAGCAGCAAAATAGTATATGGAATAACACTGTGTCTCTGGAAAGAAAAGATTCCAAATTGGTCCATATTTCACTCTGGATGCTAACAACTAAATGGGTTTTCACAAGAATGTGATGCCACACAAAAGAATGCCTTCCCTTCAGTTACGCTTAGCATAACATTAGCGAGAATAGTACTGAAACTAGAGATAAAACTACATCTTGGTTTGTTTATTAGTAACATATATACATTTTGGATATGGATACAGGTCCCTGTTCAGTTGAAAAGTTAAGTATGTGCTTATTTGTTGAATAGACAGAAAAGCCTCAGCAAATTAAACTTCAAGTGCCAATCAGCTTGATAGGCCTTCAGGCACTCCTGAAGAGACACGAGCTCTGAAAAAGCTTTGCTGACCATGACCAACGCTACATGCAGTAGAAGAGACAGCCTACAAACAGGCCTGTCATGCACAAATAAAATAAAAATTCAGAAAGGCTGTTTCCCAGAATTCATATGATCACTTACACTAACATAACTACCTAATTAACAACCTAAGCATGAATACTTCCACATCCTTTAAACATACCTGGCTTTGCCACTTGTGTGTGCCACAGCAAGGAGACCATCGGTGGCGTTTTCCAGGGTATCAGTGATATCTCGAATGATGAGACCTGTACCATTTCCATCCTCATCATCTGCATTGTGTTCAGAAAAAGCCATCTGCAGGATACAGCAAACAGAATGAGTAAACCAAAAGGTCTGACTTTTTTTGATGTTGAAGCTCCATTCTTCTTGCAGCTTCTCCTTCCTGTTCAGCTTTCACCTTTGACTAGTTGTACTGATTTGCATGATTTTACAGACAGAGTAATGCTTTAAAGCTGCCCATTTCAAAATGGAGTGCATTTGATTATAAGATTAGGGTATTAATAGTTCTAAGGAAGACTTCAAGACCACTGTAAATCATCCTGTCCAACCCACTGTCTCTTCCCCGGGAAGACTTACTGCTTGGCCACTCTCCACAGGTATGCGAACATACTGACGACTGTATTTGGAAGGTGAAGCACCTGCAGCATCCGTTAGCGACCTGAGACAAAATACAGCTTTAATATATAGTTCCGCAGTAAAAAGCTGTAGCAATGCCAAATACGTGCAGTAACGGTAAGGACAATCATTCCTCCACTTCTAAGAAAACTGGCTTTTGGAGATGTTTTTTCGTAAGCATACTGCAGACAGGCTGCATTCTAAACAGGCTTTTGTTTTGGATAAGTCAGTCACACTTGCACGTTTTGAAAGAGTTACCATTTCTGATAACTGTGCCCTTTGAAATTTAAAATGTGTAGTATATTCTCTTCCCACCCATTTTTTTACTGATAAAGAAGAGGAAATCTTTATTTCATGCTCTATTCAACTTCCATCAGCTTGCTCAAATTTGAATATACAAGTGATAAAAATATTCTTCATACACCTTAGGAAAAGTATCTTGCTTCTAGAAGCTGATTTATCCCTATAATTCACATCTGACACTGATTTGTGACCTATCCAGTAATTACCTTTTTCTTTTGACCCCAACAATATAATTTCCTCGCATCAAACTCAGTATAAATTGAAGAATCTAAAAAGGAAAAACAAAAAACCAAAACCAAGTGGTCAGCATAGTAATCCTAACATTAAATTAATTCAGATTTTACTACAAAACTACATAGTTATGTGATTGAAATTAATAGGTAAATTAAAAATCCATTTGTGTTCATGTCTTAAAACCCAAAATGATAGTTACAAATGGCATTGAAAAATTATCCCCCTTGGATGGTTTTTTTTTTTTTTTTCCCCCAAACGTAATATAACAACACAAGTCACTAGAGGATTCCAGACCAGAAACAGCTGAGGGATAAACCAGAGAAAAATTGTTCCAGTGCAGAAGCTCCCACATTTCTGGGTTCCAAGTTGACTTCTTGAGTGGTCTAAGTCTGTCTTGGTCCAAGAGCTTTCACAGACTCCATTCCATGTGCCTGCAATCTCTTGTTTTAGGCTCCTGTTACCATGCACTGCCTCCAGCCTCACGTTTACCCCAGGTCAGCTTGATTTACTGATTTCTCTCCAAATAAGATTCACTGAGATTTCAAACACAATGAAATCCTTTTTACTATGACTTTTCCTTAGTATTTTGCTCGTGGTTCTTTGCTGTGCTACTTCTGGGACACTCAGGAACTGTGAACATTTTCTTTACGCTGTATTAATATAGCCTGTTCAGCTCTGTGTCATTTGTCATTCTACATAAGCAAAGAATGCCAGCAAGTATCACAGAGGCAGGAATAAGGATGGTAGCACTGAAGATGCTGCAATGGTACCTTAGACAGCAGCTTCTGTTGTTGACTGTGCTTCTGCCTTAGAACTGCCACTTCTTTCCACAGGGCCTTATTTTCTCTGCAATGCAGAATAAATTAGAAGACAGAGGATGAACAGAGTTTACTTTATATGCCTTAGTTTTACAGCTTTCAAACTTTCACAGCACCTTGCAGGACCAATGGCAACATTCCTTTGTGGATAACTAACAATCAGTTAATCCGATCCACTAGTATAAACTCTGGGTTAAATTAACTCCATTTTCCATCAGGCAGGACCAAAACCACTCACTAATAAGGACGTTCTCATCCTCTACTGCTCCACCAATAATCTTGATCTGAGGTGTTCCTTCAAAGCCTCAAAGCCTTCGAATAAAGACTTGGTGTTTGGAAACAGGCTGAGAGTAACACAGACCACCTCAGACCAGTTTCAAAGTTTGTGCTTGAGGCATTTTTTTGTTTGTTTGTTTGGTTGGTTGGTTGTTTTTTTTTTAAAAAAAGGAACAGAGGGAGTGGAGTGAAGGCATCTCCTGAACTTTGGTTGATACCTGCTTGCATACCAATGATCTGAGTGAAATACCAGTGCCTATGCAAAAAGGATCTGATGGAACAGAGATGAGGACGGGCAAAGTCCACTTCCAACGAGAAAGAAAACCAAAGACTAATTCTCCCTCACTGCATCTAACCCTGTTTTGTGTTTAGAACAGGAAATGCTTTGATCGCCCTAAACAACTACTGCAGGTGATGGCAACCAAAATGAAATCTCAAGATAGTCAACAAACTCCCAGTCTTAATCTCTGGTCTGTAACTGAATTATAAAAACAAGTTTCAGAATGTTGTGTGGGGTGGAATGGGGATTCTTAGGAAAAAATACAGCTTCACCTGTTTCCAGTTCAAATGAAACCCACATTTAGAGTCAAGCTCCATTAGATATAAGCAACATTCAACATCTAAGTGCCTCTGAAACAGACGGGGGTCTACCTCTTCATGTTAGCCAGTCTGACATCCATGTTGTTCTGCTGCTCTCTCATTTCCTGGACTTCAGAGAGTACTTTGTGCAAATCCTCCGTACAGACCTTGAGATCCTCAGTTCTTACTGCAGATACCTAAAATAGGATCAGGTTACACATGCTTTAGTACGAACAGTGTCTTGCATACTTGTTTCTACAGGAACAGTGTAGTTAGTCTGTAGAAGAACAGGTACAAACTCCATTAAAAGATTAGGTAACACTACAATTCTTATGTATCACAAAACAGTGCAATCGCTATAGATGACAATCCTTAGCACAGCCTAGACTGTATGAAAAAAACAAGATGTCAACGAAAACAGCAGATGTACATGTAGACAGTAGATTCACCATTGTAATTCATGATAAAAAACTACACTGAAAATGGCCTTCCCTAGGGGGTTCTCTCTGACAGGTCTGGTGACAGCTTGCCCTCTAGTGTCAAAGAGTAAGACACCAACGAAAAACAAAGCACAGAATTGATAGTGGAGTAAGAGCAGGATTAACATATTCCTTTTAGGTGTGGGTAAACCTGCCAGCACAGGACTAACAAATTTCCATTAAGTTACTGGGGGTGCGTGTGTGTGTGTGTCTAATTAGATGCATCCTACTCAATTTGAAAATTTGTCCCACACCACCTGAATTGCAGATTCCCATATTGCTGTTTCCTTTATTACCTCTCTGTTCAGTGACATTCCAAAATTATGGAGACTTGTCTCCAGAAAAGGTCAGAGTGCAAACTGCTCTTCTGCCTGCAGAAGAATCCATGAATGCCACCTCTTCAAACAACGGCAGAAGAGTCATCAGAAAGCAAAAAGCTCACTCTCTCCTCCCCACACTTCCATATGAAAAATCTTCCAAATCATTCAGCAACTCTCTCTGTGGTGCTAGCATAGATGGCTAACATAAAATTCAAGATTTTGAAGAAGATAGATCTGGTACATCACATGTCTGAATGACATGTCAAGGTTTTGTGGGCATCATTTTAAAAATGGTTTAGCCAAACACTGACCATAATTGAACCAAATGGAGTTGCACCAGATAACCACCAGATGTCCCTTCCAACCTACAACATGCTATGATTTTTCCTATTATTCTACTAAATTCCAAGAGGGAGGTGAAAGCATCTGGGGTTGGCCGGCTGAAGTGCTAGATAACTTCCATGCAGGCTGGCTCACAGATCCGTTTTTTCAAAAGGAGAATGGGATGGTCAGAAATGGACCTATGGTGTTATAAATTAACATCCCATCACTTCATGATGAAACAGAACATAGTTGTTATGTAATCACTCCATAGAAACAACCACTTTCTTAACATAATCCAGTGTTACAAAGGAGGGACTGAATGGCCTGGCAGTTCTCTGCTTTTAGATGCTTTGCTATTCATTGCAGATAATACCTTATGCTAAGGTACATGAGCTGTATCACAAATGAAATTCATGGCTGTCTGATTGCTCTTCAGCATACCACCTCTCTGTGGGGAAGGCACCCAAAAGATGCAGACAGCAGGTGGAAATTTCAAACGCAGTCAGCCTGCCTCTAAAAAAAGGGCCAAACTAAAACATTCTGCCCAAGTGCAAGGAATTGCTCTCTTCAGAGTCTCTAACTAGATAAGGATGTCAAGACTGAAGCACGCCAGCAGAGCTAACACTAAAAGGGAGTAAATAACAGAAGTCCTGCATTCAAACGTGCATTCCTTTCAGAGGCTTGAAATCCAGTTTATAGCAAGTACTGAAACATGACTCCATCCCAGACAGTAACAGAGCAAGAAAAACTAATGGACGTTTTGCAAAAAATCACTAACATTTCCTGTGCAACAAAGAATATGTTTCACCAACCTATCCAACAGTTTCATATGAACGTCCTTGGCTCTAACTAGAGCTTTTGTCTTTCCATCTGGAGTACTCCACCCAGTGCAACGCTCCTGGGATACATGGTGCCATACATAACATCATCAGCTGACTGCCCCAAAATACCAGAAAGCAAGGTGTGCAAGCCAAGACAAGTCAGCGATTACAGCATCTGGGAAGAGCACAGGCCCGAGTCAGAGAAGCAACTGTACAAGTATATTTGATCAACTGTGATCCTGAGCAGAGACAGCTCAGTGAATAATCAATCAAAACACAATTGTGACTCTCAAGCCTACCCTGTGCTTTTATTAACTTGGGCAATGTAGCTAGCACATTATGACATTCTAAAGAAAAGATTCTGCAGTTCAAATGTCAACATGATGTATCATGATAGTCTCTTTCTCTGGCAGCCAGGATATTATGAGCTGTAATGTGCCAATAGAGGATAAATATCTGTGCAGAAACAGGTCAGACAAGGCCTGAATGTACAAAAGAAAACTGAAAAGTGCTAATGAAGATGTAGCTTAGTGGCAACATTGTTTTGGAGGAACAATGCAATTTATGCAAACTTGCCCAAACGAACTGATTACTGATGCCCTTGCTAATTTTCAGTGAGCACCAAACGGACATGTATTTTCTTTTACTTCTTTCACTTTGTGACTCTTTCCAACTTGGCTATGCTGGCAGAATCAAAGACCACGTTAAGCTGTAGTTGTGTATATGAACTCTCTGTGGAAAAAGGGCTCTAGTTTGACAGCTACGAAGAACGTGGTCCTACTCCAGTGCATTGCTAAACAACAGCAGGGTGTGTTTTGTCTAAGAGCTGGCATGAGGAGGCCAAGCCAAGCATTAGCCTGGCATTCAGGAGGGAGTTACAAAGGCTTGCATCATGATGCACAACTTTGGTTTCCATGGAATTTGTTGGCTGTGAAGTGTTTGAAACCCCCAGACACGCTAAGCTACTTTTCATGACAAAATAAATACATGCTTAGACAGTACCTTGCGCTTGATGTTTTCCAGTAAATGTGCCTTCCCTTGCTTGAAGAAAGGGTGCTGGAACTCAATGACTGAGTTTTTCTCTGCTGTAATCATACCATTCTCCAGAGCAATCACCTTCCTGAAACCATCTGTGGAGAGGTATTAAAAGAGTCATTTCTTTCAGTGCAAAGCTGACTGTTACACACATAGCCAAAGAAAACCCTGAGGCTACTAAAATACCTACAGCACTACAGTTACTGGGAGCAGAAACTATGAAAACCAGCCAAAGCAGCTTTTCTTTGGTGCTCAATGATTTGACTGCTCCCATCTTCACAGCTAGAGAACAGGTCCACAATACCATCAAATGACCTTGCAGGCCGTATGAACAGCATGCATGGCAGAGGCCAGCTAGGGTCCGCAAGCAAGACAGCAATGTCCAAACAACCACAGAAGTTAGTTAGAAATGAGATTTATTAGGACATCTTGAATAAAATCTTGTCCCAGTGGGAGCAGCGGAACGGTGCACCTTCCCCTTCGTGCCTATAATCCCAGACAACTACATATCAAAACAAATGCTGTCACGTGCCACCAGGGTCTACAGAATGCAGTAAGGAAGTTAGTGCTCAGCCTATGCAAGCACATGCACGCAGAGTACCTTCTCCGTACCAGACTGCCCACATGAAGTAAGGCATTGCCAGCTCTATTTCCATCGCTGCTTCAAGTACCACAGGGTAGATGCAAAATACAGTTGACAGGCCAATCCATATCTCTCCTCGTTCAAGTTTTTAACCTAGTTAATGTATTCCAGTTTCACTGCGCCCCAACAGCGCTATCGTTAGAAAACTTCACTTGGAGCTAGGATAGGGCCAGCATGAAAAGGAGGCTGCCATTGCATTGCATGTCTTCATAGGAATATTTGCATTTTAGCATTTACCCTTGCTACAAGGCAACTGGCAATTTTTTGTTTGCATTATCCTTTGACACTCAAGTGATGGAGTCTCAACACTTGGCACAAACAGCAGCATCCACCCTGTGTCAAGAGGCCAAACATATTCTTTCTCTCTCGTGTCTGGCAAAATCTAAATAGGCCTCAGCTAGAGAGACCAGGCAAACCTACTGGGCAAGGACAGAGAGCTCCTCTCCCTTACTCTGAATGGAAACTCTAAACAAGACAGCCGTCTTCTACGCAGTTTGTATGTTCACTCAGCCCATAAGCTATCTGCTGCAAAACAACTATTTCCGCTGTGTGCTGCAGCCCCGCACATTGCACTGTATCTTTGAATGCCCACCCCACTCCAGCCTGTACAAGCTGTACATGTGTTATACAATGGACGCTACATGACGCTCACAAGTTCAGCGCAGAAAACATAATGAGAAACTTAGACCAGCTCGGTCCATCAGCGTGACTAATCTTGTTTCAACACAGCAATGCAGGCAACAGCATATTCTAGGCAATTTTTTTCATATACTAGATGCATGGGTGTAGATATGGCCTTTGTTCCTCTAGGTATGCATAAGTTTGCTGTCACCATTACCATTAACGCTGCCACTGGAGCCCAGAGAACTCTGCCCAAGCTTTAGGTACCAGCACATGAAACAAATATTTTTATGGTCATTGCTTAAAAGGACTCAGAGCTGAAACACTGAAGACAAAGACTAAGCCAGGCTCTACTGTTATTCTTTTCTTTTGCAAGCAAACTCAAGAGTTCGGGTTTTCAGGGATGAAAGACCTGCCAAGCCAATTGGTTTGTTTAAAGAAATTCAAATCGATGCCAAGTAGCAACGAACTTGGCAGAAAGAATAGATAAGAGCAGCTGATGCTTACACATGTTAAGCTGTCGTATGAAGCTGGAGATATTGTTGTGTTTGAAGTACTTGGGGAGCAGCTCCTTGGCAAACCTCTGCTCATCCAGAATGCAGAAGTTCTCACCATTCTAGGAAATAAGCAGAATTAACAGTTAGAGAACAAGCAGTTTTTCTAAGGCGATGCTCACAAGCGAAGACCATAAATCAACAGAGATGGTTTCTACAACAAGGGAAGGGCAAAACGCTTGGCAAAGGGAACTGTCTGTGCGAGCACGCCTGAGTACTTGGGGCTATACTAACAAGTTTGAATCCAAAAAGATAGTTACGCGGAACACTTCTCTTGAATGAGGGATTTTTTTTTAAAGCCCTGAAGTTTTGACCTTAATGCAAAGAAAAATCGTTGTAAACCCCACGTATGCGCGCTCTCCGCGCGCAGGAAAGGCGCACGCCGCCCCAGCACGATGGAACCGGTGCCACTAGAGGGCTGTTATCTCCCGTGGTCAGTTTGCCCAGCTCCTGACGCGATTCTTCCACTCCATGCACTGTGTCACCACTAAAAATAACCAGTGTTGCAGTTACGAAGACCGGAGAGACCA